AAAAAAAAAAAAAAAAAAAAAAACCAACAACCGAATATATAATTAGTCATCGCCTATACTCAAAATCACAAGCAAAACTTGCAAACAACATCGACCTGCATTTAACACCTCAACATCGACCCTTTTCCCAATTAACAAATCGCACATACAATCGCACACAATGTGTTCGATAATAATAACCTGCTGCTAATTTTTAATGATATTTGGCGTTTGGATACCTCTATAATAGAGTGAACCCTACTTGGATAAAAACAAAATGACGGTTCCAGTACAGAAGCCCGTCTCACATGCTTGTCTAACACTAACAGCACATATATACCTTAATCAAAGAGGAAGCACAACTGTACGAGATGATTATGCATATTCAATAGCCAGAGATCACAAACTAATAATTAACAACTGGAAGTACAATCATATTCAAATTTCTGGAATGTTGATAATGAAATTGCATTAGATTGATCAAAATCAAACAACCTGCGGTGGTCCGACGGCGGGTCCGGCGTCGAAACCCTAAGACCTAATTCAACCTAATTTATCAAACAAACTAATTTATCAAATTTTGTTATCGAAACCCTAAGACCTAATTCAAAAATTATTGAAGAATTTAGAAAATCGAAGCCCTAATAGAAGAAATGTACCTATTATTCGGGAAGGAGGTCCTGCGGCGGTCCGGCGTCGAAAATTTCCGGTCGAATTTTTCCGGCGATTCTTCTCTCTCTCTCGCGATGCTGCTTCTCGTCTCTCTCGCTCTCTCTGTTTCTGTGTTTTCTGTTCGCGTAAAGGGGAAGAAGAGATTTTTTTTATTTATATTTACAAAAAAACGTATTCGGCGAATACGTTTTATACATAATTATTTGTCCAACGTATTCTCCGAATACGGTTTACAAAAAATTAGGTATAAAACGTATTCTTCGAATACGTTTTACAATTAAAAAAAAAAAATGGTAGAGGCTCCCAGAGGGGGACTCGAACCCGGGCCAATGGGCAAGTCCGGTTTCTCTGGGCACACCTCGTACCATTGTGCCGGCAGACACTTTCCGATAATTTTTGTACAAAATATATACATATTCATAACAGTATTATATAATATGATATAATATATATCATTTAATATAATACATAATATAACTATATATTAATATATTAATAATATACCATACTATAATATAAGAATATATATATATATATATCATACTATAATATAATATATAATATAACTATATATTAATATACCATACTATAATATAAGAATATATATATATACCATACTATAATATAATATATAATATAACTATATATTAATATACCATACTATAATATAAATATATATTAATATACTATACTAAACCCTAAACCCTAAACCCTAAACCCTAAACCCTAAATATGAACGAATTCGAGTTCAATTGTATTAATTGTACGAAGTTGACTTCAATTGTACGAAATTGACTTCAATTGTACGAAATTGACTTCAATTGTACGAGATTGACTTCAATTGCTTTGCAGTTGGACAGTTACTTGGCGCAGCGTGAAAATTCCGGCTACGAATTTCATACTCAAGTCTTCTAGAATTGGACACCTGATTATCCTGCTGAAGAATTTGGCTTGGTTGGTAGAAACCTCTTGCGAGGGTTGGATCCGCATCAGAAATTGACTTCAATTGTACGAAATTTGACTTCAATTGTACGAATTTGACTTCAATTGTACGAAATTGACTTTAATTGTACGAAATTGACTTCAATTGTACGAAATTGACTTCAATTGTACGAAATTGACTTCAATTGTACTGAAATTGACTTCAATTGTACGAATTTGACTTCAATTGTACTAATTTGACTTCAATTGTACGAAATTGACTTCAATTGTACTAATTTGACTTCAATCGTACGAAATAGACTTCAATTGTACGAAATTGACTTCAATTGTACGAATTTGACTTCAATTGTACGAAGTTGTCTTTAATTGCTTTGCAGTTGGACAGTTACTTACGCAGCGTGAAAATTCCGGCTACCAATTTCATACTAAAGTCTTCTAGAATTAGACACCTGATTATCCTGCTGAAGAATTTGGCTTGGTTGGTAGAAACCTCTTCCGAGGGTTGGATCCGTATCAGAAATAGACTTCAATTGTACGAAATTGACTTAAATTGCTTTGCAGTTGGACAGTTACTTGCGCAGCGTGAAAATTCCGGTTACCAATTTCATACTAAAGTCTTCTAGAATTGGACACCTGATTATCCTGCTGAAGAATTTGGCTTGGTTGGTAGAAACCTCTTCCGAGGGTTGGATCCGTATCAAAAATAGACTTCAATTATACGAAATTGACTTTAATTGCTTTGCAGTTGGACAGTTACTTGTGCAGCGTGAAAATTCCGGTTACCAATTTCATACTCAAGTCTTCTAGAATTGGACACTTGATTATCCTGCTGAAGAATTTGGCTTGGTTGTTAGAAACCTCTTCCGAGAGTTGGATCCGTATCAGAAAATGGTTCATTCAATATCCAAAATGGTAGCTACCAATTCGACTTCAATTGTACTAATTTGACTTCAATTGTAGGAAATTGACTTCAATTGTATTAATACGAGTCGTGTAAATAATGCAGAAAAACTTTTTTTTTTTGCCAGTATAAAACGTATTCCAAAAATACGTTTTAAATTTAAATAAAGCCAAAACGTATTCCCAGAATACGTTTTAAACTGGGAGAAAAAAAAAACATATTTTGCTTTG